GTACTGACTTGACGTTGATGTTGAACATCTGACTCTTGTTCTCTATACTGAATTTGACGGACTTCCACACTGATTTCAGATTAATGAAGGTCTTTCTTGCCCTTCCAATACTGACTAGCTGTGGCATCCTTATCTGTGCCAACTGTCGCTGTGCTAATCGCTGTGAACATTCCAACGTGAAGTGGATGGCATGATGGCAGCTGCTGAACTCCATAGTTATCATTTCAATATTGGTATTCTCGTTACATATGATGAAAGTACCATCCATGTATCTTTGGTACAGATGGAAACTGTTGATAGTGTGTCATAACATACTGTTCTCTAGACTTGCCGAGAAGCAGTCTGCAAGTAAAGGACCCAGTGGTGACCCCATTGCCACTCCATATCTTTGTCTATAAAGCGTGTTGCTGAACTTGAAATGGACATTAAAAGCGCACCTAAATAATAGTTCCTTTAAGTAGTGGATCGCAACACCCACATCTATATGTTATCCTCAATGAATTTGCAGATAAAGTAAATAGTTTCAGTGAGAGGAACTTGAGTACTATGTAATTTACAACTTTTATTTCTACTTCTAAAGCCACTTCTGAGTAATTACACCAATTATGTCACCCTGGATAACTCAATAATAGAATATTATTTTTTGATTATAGCTTGATTCCACACCGTATTTTTGGTACAAGTATGGAATTTTCAGCATGTGATATCGATAGCCCACATTTTGCAGGCCGACCATTGATATCGGGTGTGCGTCGGCAGGGGATCGGTCCCCGGACCATGTGTATGGTAGTCGAGAATCTTAACCTCTGTGCTACCGACGCACAAGATAAAGGGATGATCCGAAGACCTCCCCACCAGAAAAAGCTACGCATCCGAGCGAGCCCGATTAGGGATCGTCGCAGGCTTCAACACGCCGAAGTGCAAAAGCGAGCCTCAACCTGGGGCCAAGGCATTCGCGATCACCCTGGTTCCGGCGCCAAGTAAGTATATTTACTTCCTTTTATCACTAATGGCATTCCTAATTGTGGTGGACTGGATTATACGTCGGATTGTGGTGAGTGGGAAGATAGGAATATGCTGGACCAGAACATCATGGACTTCGCGGACAATCACAGTCTAATGTCATATCAAGTCGAAAACTCTAGGAGGATCTCGATTTTGCAGATGATTTATGTTCAATGTCATACGAACTCGAAGAATAACAGGAGAAAGCCAACAAAATGGCGGAAGAAGCAGTGATGACCGGATTTGAACAAGGACGTGGGGAAGATGGAGGTCATGAACCAACCAACCTACTAACCAGAAAACAAAAACAACAACCAGTACTAATGACTATCAATGGGTGAAATTTGCAAGAGGCGACTTGCTTCCCTCTTACCAAGGCAGCATTGTTTCAACTGCAGGCGGTGGAACGGATGACGATGTCAAAACCAGAATCGGAGGGCCTGACACACCTTCATCACACTGAAATCAGTTTGGGAATCTTTTGTACTCAGCTTAAGGAGACGAATTCGGAATTTCGACACAAATGTTAAGTCAGTCAGTTCTTCTATACGGATCAGAAACTTGGCGGGTCACAAAGAATATTTCCAACAGCCTGTTGCAGACCTTTATCAACAACTGTCTTCGCTGGCTCTATACTGAAGATCAATCAGATGGCCGGAAAGAATCACCAACAAGAGACTTTGGGAACAAACAAAGCAAGAACCAACCACCCAACAAATATGCAGGAGAAAGAAGTGTAGATGGATTGGACACTCACTGAGGAGGCGGCTGGGTGGGTGACATCGCGCGTCAGGCCACAGCTCGAGTGGAACCCGAAAAGGAACCGGCGAGTGGGACGTCAGTGCAAGGGTGACATGGAGGAGATCGTGTGAAGAGGAGTTGAAACAGTATGGACTAACATGGATGCATGTGAAAAATGCAGCAGAAGACAGAAGCAAGTGGGGACGTGTAGTTGAAGCCGTATGTTCTACTATGAACCCAAGGGAACAGTAATAATAGTAATATTCAGTGGAATCCAGACAGGAAGCACCTTTCGTCTTGTTTGAAGCTTGTCATCTGGATGTTCCAAAAATCCCAAAAGTGTGGTGAGTGGTAGTTTTCCTCACTTACATGTTGGCAAGGTCAGGGGGTCAAGAGGACAATGTAAAGATAGCTGCCAACCAAAAAAAACAGAAAAACAAAACACATTCCAGTAATGTGAAAAAGCAAAACTTAAAGATTGTACTTACAGCTGATAATCTGGTGTTGCATCTGTAGATTGAATAAATTCCAATAATTGACCTGTACACTGTACACTATTATTATTATTCAATACTATTGATTTTTTTTGTTCGATTCATAATATGACATTTATAATTTGAATCACAATGAGCTGAATTTAACCAGCTCAATAATTCCTCTTCTTTTTCTTCTTCTGTTTTCACCTGTTTATTCATAAGTCCATGTAAATGATGATCAAAGGGGAATTTACGTTTTAAATGAAAGTCAAATGAATGTGAAACACGAGATGACAAATCGGCATTTATTGATTTATTGTTATCATCAATATCGTCAAATATGTCATCATCATCATTATTTATTGACCACTTTATCTTTCCCAATGGTTTACTCCATGATGACGTGGTGCATATCAACTGAATAGATTGATTTGAGTGAAGCCATACTGATTGTTGATTTTGTGTTTGATTCATTTGATGGAACGATGATGATTTCAAATCATTATATTGATTTTTGGTATTGATTAGAAATTTGAATTTTAAATTTTCATATATCAGTATATTTAAATTTACTGATTTTGGGGGAACTAAATGAAAAATAAGTAAAATTAGGAGAAACAAATATATATTGAAGAGAGTTCATTAATTCCACATCAAAAAAAGAATTATTAAAATTTATTTTATACCTGCAAGCTGTAACTCATCTTTCGCACATGATCTGTTGTTTCTTCTTCAGCTGAAAGATAAAGTACCTAGACCAGCTACCTCTTCTTGAATCCATCAGCTCTTCTGAGATTGTGGAGCCAGTTATACTGGTCCTTGCTCTAGGAACTTAATTATAATGTCTACCTACTAGCGTGCCTAAATAAAAGTGTACAGAATCACATTAGTCTTACATGCCAGGAAGAAAGTCACAGCCAGCTCGCATTTTTAGACATACTTCTGAGTCGAAGAGACGATGGCTCAATAAGGCGGTCTATCTACAGAAAGCCCACTTGGACAGGGCAATACCTTAATTTTCCACAGCTTCTGTCCATTACAGTATATGAGAGGTTTGGTGAAGTGTCTATTTAAAAGGATCCAGCGTATTTGCACGGCTGACGTTATAGACAAAGGAAACGAAATATTGATGGATACTCTTGTTGAAAACGGATATCCTTTGAGATTTTTTAAACAGGTGTAGAAGTCAACTAGCCTCTGAACCTACAATCCATACCGTCCCTAAGAAAAAGGTTTTCATCAAATTACCATATAACTGGGAAATAAATAGTAGGATTTTGAGACAAAGGTTGAATTCGATCATCTGTAGAACCTACTATGCAGCCCAGCTTTTAATTGTTAACTTGATACTATAAATGGCAATCAAGAAAGCTGGTGAAATAGCGTGGCACTATACGCTGTAGTCTTTGCTAACAATAGTTTTACTGGATGTATTATCGGTCAATCATGCAGTCAACAGGAATTAAGATGGTTTGAAGCAACTCATCCGAGAGCTCTCGGATGAGTCAATCCAAGCACAATATTGATGAGCGTTGGTCTCACAGGAAGGCAACAGCTTTTCAGCATTTGGATAATTTCTATTAGGCTAACAAGCACTACTGGTTTGCCGTCAGTGGTTCCAGCTGCTCACATTAATCAGTGATATTCACCATCATCCTATATGGATAGACACGCGGAACTGATAACTCTCGTCCAATTAAATGTTCGTCTATCAGCTACCCCTTTAATAAGACAAGATCAAAGTATAAATCATCAGTCTTCGCCCATACCCAGTCATTTGTGCTAAGTTCAACCTTATTCCTTCGTCTGTACTACAAATGTAAAGTAGACAGGGGGAATTAAAAGCCTGTGATGAAGGTAGCTTCAGACTTTAAACATAATTTTCAGGTGGCTATTTATAATTATAAAAAAGAAAAAACAGGTTTCAGTTCTTATAAAGACCAGAAGACCTCAGTTCACTCGCTCGTGTAGAACTTCTGAATGTCTCTGTTATTCCCATCAGACAATTAAGAAACCGATAGACTGATAACTGAAGGAGAATTCCTCAGTCACTCTTGAAGTCCCTGACTTCCTTGTTGTATTATACACACAGATCGATGAGTGGACTCCATCAAATCGACGTATGAGTCACTGATTTCCTGACAGTTATCATCACCTATTTGAATATTGAATAAAGACACAAATGCTCAGTTTCGAGAGAGATTTTATTGACTTAAAGATATAGACATTATAATAAAGGTTTTTGTATTTCCCAATGAATGAAAAACAAAACGATATTGTTGTTCTTACCGACGTTTCGCTATTTAATGCTGCTAATAGCTTTATCAAAGTAGTAATATTAAACCGGAATTTACAAAATCTCCTCAGCATATATATAACAAAGAGTTAAGGGGTGAGAAAATGGACTTAAGTCAAGTTAAAAGGACATATTGAAAGTTAAAATAACAATGAAGATCACCAAACCAAATAACGAAGGTAATAGTACATCTGTTATGACATCAAAACAAAGTTTACTAATTTGATCATCGTTCGTTAGTCCGGGGTCATTTTTCGTTGTCAAGTCGGTCATTTGGTAAAGATAACAAAATCAAAATCAAGTGTAGATTGTTGGATTTGATCATTGTTTAAAATTATAAAGGCAGTGTGTGTTTACATAGTCAACTTGCATATCACATTCGTGTTGATTTTGTCACTTGGTGGGGGAGGGAGGTGTTGTAACCAGGTCAGATTCTGTTTTAGTCCATCATTCCTATTCAGGCAATTCGGATTCCAATTGATATGAAGTGCTTCTGATGATATTAGACCTTCTTTGTGATTTCTGAATTGCTTTTTCCCGATTATTTCAATATTGTCAAAATCAATTTTGTGACCTGATTCTATAGCGTGTAGACCTATGGCTGATGATTTTTCAAATTTTTCTAGTTCAATTGGATTTCTCGGTGGTTGAACAGATGCTCTACGGTGTTCATTTCTTCTGATTTTGATTTCTCGAGATGTTTGTCCGATGTATATCGCATCACATTCCAAGCATTTTTACTTTATATACACAATTAAATAGAGAATCTTTGTTATTTGGTTTGGTGATCTTCATTGTTATTTTAACTTTCAATATGTCCTTTTAACTTGACCTAAGTCCATTTTCTCACCCCTTAACTCTTTGTTATATATATGCTGAGGAGATTTTGTAAATTCCGGTTTAATATTACTACTTTGATAAAGCTATTAGCAGCATTAAATAGCGAAGCGTCAGTAAGAGCAACAATATCGTTTTGTTTTTCATTCATTGGGAAATACAAAAACATTCATTATAATGAATATCATATACCCAATGCCCAAATTTTTTCAAACCGTTAAAAGTGAACCTGGTTTGGACGTATGTAACTTAATTAAAGATAAAGAGTTCACAATCATCAACAGATATGTATCAGTGAGTGAATCAATGAAAATCAGGGATAATTGCTCAGCTATTTTTTCCCTCAGTGTTCAACTCTTACAAACACAAACCCATGACTTCAATATGGATGTGATGAGATATATTGTCACCGGCAGACTCTACTCCTATGACCGTGGAAACGCATACTACTAAACGATGAAATTGTAGTGACGTAGAGTTAATTCCATTATGGGTAAATTTTGTTTTGATAAAGTCTCACAGTGTTATACAGTAATGTTTACTGATGACGTTTCGAGCACAATTTATTGTGCGTCGGTGACACAGTGGTTAGGACTCTCGCCGACCATGCACATGGTCCGGGGTTCAATCCTCTGCCGACGCACACCCTATATCTATGGTCGGCCTGCAAAATTTGGGCTACCGATATCCACGCTGAAAATTCCATACTTGTACCGAAATACGGTGTGGCATCAAGCTGTAATCAAAATAAAATACAAAATAAATAAAAATAATCATATCAAGGCAATCACACGACTTCCTAAATTCATTTATACAGATCCATTGTTTTTCACTTGATTTTCACTTGATTTGAATGGTAGTAATATTTTCCATATTTCGGGTATTTGTGATGAATCATTCCTATTGCATGTGTTGGGTGTAGATTCGATGAACAAGGATTCAGTAATCAACCTCTCTCTCTCTCTCCATCGACCTAGATTACTTTTTAGAATTTTAACCCTCTCCCACCCTATTGTGTGGTTGTGTGCTAATGCATGCATTGAAACTGCTGAGCTTTCTTCCTTCTGTGGGACCCAGTTAGGACCCAGTTGACCCAACTAGACAAAGTAATGTAATTTACAAAATACCATTATGGGTAAATTTTGTTCTGATAAAGTCTCACAGTGTTATACAGTAATGTTTACTGATGACGTTTCGAGCACAATTTATTGTGCGTCGGTGACACAGTGGTTAGGACTCTCGCCGACCATGCACATGGTCCGGGGTTCAATCCTCTGCCGACACACACCCGATATCTATGGTTTGTTAAACACTTAACTAACAGGCTTAGTTAAGTGTTTAACAAACCGAGCAATGGCACTAAGTAACACAAAAAAAGACCTAAATGATGAAATAAAACAGATAGAAGAGGCGTTGGTTCTAAATAACTATCCTCTAAAATTCATTAGGAAGATTGAAAAACGCCAAAAGAAAAATAAAAAGAATTGTGAAACTGGTAATAATAACATAAATAAGAGAGAATATAAGTCGTCTACAGTTATACCATATAAAGAGGGGACATCTGAGACCCTTCGTAGGATTCTAAATAAAGCAGGAATTAGGGTGGCATTTAAACCTACAAACTCACTCAGGGACAAGCTCTGTAGGTTAAAGGACCCAGTTGACCCAATTAGACAAAATAATATAATTTACAAAATACCCTGCAATGACTGTGAGGTCAGCTACATAGGTCAAACTAGTAGGTCAGGGGTTGTCAGATTACCAGAACATAAGAATTTAACTAAGGTAAGAATGGTTGACCCCGAGAAGATAAGTAATTTAGAAAAAAGCTCAGCAATTGCAATGCATGCATTAACACACAACCACACAATAGAATAGGGTGGGAGGGGGTGAAAATTCTAAAAAGTAATCTAGGTCGATGGAGAGAGAGAGAGGTTGATTACTGAATCCTTGTTCATCGAATCTACACCCAACACATGCAATAGGAATGATTCATCACAAATACCCGAAATATGGAAAATATTACTACCATTCAAATCAAGTGAAAATCAAGTGAAAAACAATGGATCTGTATAAATGAATTTAGGAAGTCGTGTGATTGCCTTGATATGATTATTTTTATTTATTTTGTATTTTATTTTGATTACAGCTTGATGCCACACCGTATTTCGGTACAAGTATGGAATTTTCAGCGTGGATATCGGTAGCCCAAATTTTGCAGGCCGACCATAGATATAGGGTGTGCGTCGGCAGAGGATTGAACCCCGGACCATGTGCATGGTCGGCGAGAGTCCTAACCACTGTGTCACCGACGCACAATAAATTGTGCTCGAAACGTCATCAGTAAACATTACTGTATAACACTGTGAGACTTTATCAGAACAAAATTTACCCAAAATGGAATTAACTCTACCTCACTACAATTTCATCGTTTAGAATTCGTTTCCACGGTCATAGGAGTAGAGTCTGCCAGTGACAATACATCTCATCACATCCATGTTGAAGTCATGGGTTTGTGTTTGTAAGAGTTGAACACTGGGGGAAAAATAGCTGAGCAATTATCCCTGATTTTCATTGATTCACCCACTGATACATATCTGTTGATGATTATGAACTCTATATCTTTAATTAAGTTATATGCGTCCAAACCAAGTTCACTCTTAACAGTTTGAAAAAGTTTGGGCGTTGGGTATTTGATATTCATTATAATAAAGGTTTTTTTATCTTCCAATGAATGAAAAACAAAACGATATTGTTGCTCTTACTGACGCTTCGCTATTTAATGCTGCTAATAGCTTTATCAAAGTAGTAATATTAAACCGGAATTTACAAAATCTCCTCAGCATATATATAACAAAGAGTTAAGGGGTGAGAAAATGGACTTAGGTCAAGTTAAAAGGACATATTGAAAGTTAAAATAACAATGAAGATCACCAAACCAAATAACAAAGATTCTCTATTTAATTGTGTATATAAAGTAAAATGCTTGGAATGTGATGCGATATACATCGGACAAACATCTCGAGAAATCAAAATCAGAAGAAATGAACACCGTAGAGCATCTCTTCAACCACCGAGAAATCCAATTGAACTAGAAAAATTTGAAAAATCATCAGCCATAGGTCTACACGCTATAGAATCAGGTCACAAAATTGATTTTGACAATATTGAAATAATCGGGAAAAAGCAATTCAGAAATCACAAAGAAGGTCTAATATCATCAGAAGCACTTCATATCAATTGGAATCCGAATTGCCTGAATAGGAATGATGGACTAAAACAGAATCTGACCTGGTTACAACACCTCCCTCCCCCACCAAGTGACAAAATCAACACGAATGTGATATGCAAGTTGACTATGTAAACACACACTGCCTTTATAATTTTAAACAATGATCAAATCCAACAATCTACACTTGATTTTGATTTTGTTATCTTTACCAAATGACCGACTTGACAACGAAAAATGACCCCGGACTAACGAACGATGATCAAATTAGTAAACTTTGTTTTGATGTCATAACAGATGTACTATTACCTTCGTTATTTGGTTTAGTGATCTTCATTGTTATTTTAACTTTCAATATGTCCTTTTAACTTGACTTAAGTCCATTTTCTCACCCCTTAACTCTTTGTTATATATATGCTGAGGAGATTTTGTAAATTCCGGTTTAATATTACTACTTTGATAAAGCTATTAGCAGCATTAAATAGCGAAGCGTCAGTAAGAGCAACAATATCGTTTTGTTTTTCATTCATTGGGAAATACAAAAACCTTTATTATAATGTCTATATCTTTAAGTCAATAAAATCTCTCTCGAAACTGAGCATTTGTGTCTTTATTCAATATTCAAATAAGTGATGATAACTGTCAGGAAATCAGTGACTCATACGTCGATTTGATGGAGTCCACTCATCGATCTGTGTGTATAATACAACAAGGAAGTCAGGGACTTCAAGAGTGACTGAGGAATTCTCCTTCAGTTATCAGTCTATCGGTTTCTTAATTGTCTGATGGGAATAACAGAGACATTCAGAAGTTCTACACGAGCGAGTGAACTGAGGTCTTCTGGTCTTTATAAGAACTGAAACCTGTTTTTCTTTTTTATAATTATAAATAGCCACCTGAAAATTATGTTTAAAGTCTGAAGCTACCTTCATCACAGGCTTTTAATTCCCCTGTCTACTTTACATTTGTAGTACAGACGAAGGAATAAGGTTGAACTTAGCACAAATGACTGGGTATGGGCGAAGACTGATGATTTATACTTTGATCTTGTCTTATTAAAGGGGTAGCTGATAGACGAACATTTAATTGGACGAGAGTTATCAGTTCCGCGTGTCTATCCATATAGGATGATGGTGAATATCACTGATTAATGTGAGCAGCTGGAACCACTGACGGCAAACCAGTAGTGCTTGTTAGCCTAATAGAAATTATCCAAATGCTGAAAAGCTGTTGCCTTCCTGTGAGACCAACGCTCATCAATATTGTGCTTGGATTGACTCATCCGAGAGCTCTCGGATGAGTTGCTTCAAACCATCTTAATTCCTGTTGACTGCATGATTGACCGATAATACATCCAGTAAAACTATTGTTAGCAAAGACTACAGCGTATAGTGCCACGCTATTTCACCAGCTTTCTTGATTGCCATTTATAGTATCAAGTTAACAATTAAAAGCTGGGCTGCATAGTAGGTTCTACAGATGATCGAATTCAACCTTTGTCTCAAAATCCTACTATTTATTTCCCAGTTATATGGTAATTTGATGAAAACCTTTTTCTTAGGGACGGTATGGATTGTAGGTTCAGAGGCTAGTTGACTTCTACACCTGTTTAAAAATCTCAAAGGATATCCGTTTTCAACAAGAGTATCCATCAATATTTCGTTTCCTTTGTCTATAACGTCAGCCGTGCAAATACGCTGGATCCTTTTAAATAGACACTTCACCAAACCTCTCATATACTGTAATGGACAGAAGCTGTGAAAATTAAGGTATTGCCCTGTCCAAGTGGGCTTTCTGTAGATAGACCGCCTTATTGAGCCATCGTCTCTTCGACTCAGAAGTATGTCTAAAAATGCGAGCTGGCTGTGACTTTCTTCCTGGCATGTAAGACTAATGTGATTCTGTACACTTTTATTTAGGCACGCTAGTAGACATTATAATTAAGTTCCCACAGCAAGGACTAGTATAACTGGCTCCACAAGCTCAGAAGAGCTGATGGATTCAAGAAGAGGTAGCTGGTCTAGGTACTTTATCTTTCAGCTGAAGAAGAAACAACAGATCATGTGCGAAAGATGAGTTACAGCTTGCAGGTATAAAATAAATTTTAATAATTCTTTTTTTGATGTGGAATTAATGAACTCTCTTCAATATATATTTGTTTCTCCTAATTTTACTTATTTTTCATTTAGTTCCCCCAAAATCAGTAAATTTAAATATACTGATATATGAAAATTTAAAATTCAAATTTCTAATCAATACCAAAAATCAATATAATGATTTGAAATCATCATCGTTCCATCAAATGAATCAAACACAAAATCAACAATCAGTATGGCTTCACTCAAACCAATCTATTCAATTGATATGCACCACATCATCATGGAGTAAACCATTGGGAAAGATAAAGTGGTCAATAAATAATGATCATGATGACATATTTGACGATATTGATGATAACAATAAATCAATAAATGCCGATTTGTCATCTCGTGTTTCACATTCATTTGACTTTCATTTAAAACGTAAATTCCCCTTTGATCATCATTTACATGGACTTATGAATAAACAGGTGAAAACAGAAGAAGAAAAAGAAGAGGAATTATTGAGCTGGTTAAATTCAGCTCATTGTGATTCAAATTATAAATGTCATATTATGAATCGAACAAAAAAAATCAATAGTATTGAATAATAATAATAGTGTACAGTGTACAGGTCAATTATTGGAATTTATTCAATCTACAGATGCAACACCAGATTATCAGCTGTAAGTACAATCTTTAAGTTTTGCTTTTTCACATTACTGGAATGTGTTTTGTTTTTCTGTTTTTTTTGGTTGGCAGCTATCTTTACATTGTCCTCTTGACCCCCTGACCTTGCCAACATGTAAGTGAGGAAAACTACCACTCACCACACTTTTGGGATTTTTGGAACATCCAGATGACAAGCTTCAAACAAGACGAAAGGTGCTTCCTGTCTGGATTCCACTGAATATTACTATTATTACTGTTCCATTGGGTTCATAGTAGAACATACGGCTTCAACTACACGTCTCCACTTGCTTCTGTCTTCTGCTGCATTTTTCACTTGCATCCATGTTAGTCCATACTGTTTCAACTCCTCTTCACACGATCTCCTCCATGTCACCCTTGCACTGACGTCCCACTCGCCGGTTCCTTTTCGGGTTCCACTCGAGCTGTGGCTTGACGCGCGATGTCACCCACCCAGCCGCCTCCTCAGTGAGTGTCCAATCCATCTACACTTCTTTCTCCTGCATATTTGTTGGGTGGTTGGTTCTTGCTTTGTTTGTTCCCAAAGTCTCTTGTTGGTGATTCTTTCCGGCCATCTGATTGATCTTCAGTATAGAGCCAGCGAAGACAGTTGTTGATAAAGGTCTGCAACAGGCTGTTGGAAATATTCTTTGTGACCCGCCAAGTTTCTGATCCGTATAGAAGAACTGACTGACTTAACATTTGTGTCGAAATTCCGAATTCGTCTCCTTAAGCTGAGTACAAAAGATTCCCAAACTGATTTCAGTGTGATGAAGGTGTGTCAGGCCCTCCGATTGTGATTTTGACATCGTCACCCGTTCCACCGCCTACAGTTGAAACAATGCTGCCTTGGTAAGAGGGAAGCAAGTCGCCTCTTCCAAATTTCACCCATTGACAGTCAGTAGTACTGGTTGTTGTTTTTGTTATTGGTTAGTTAAGCTGTTTGGTTCATGACCTGCATCTTCTCCACGTCCACTTCAAATCTGGTCATCACTGCTTCTTCCGCCATTTTGTTGGCTTTCGCCTGTTATTCTTCGAGTTCGTATGACATTGAACATAAATCATCTGCAAAATCGAGATCCTCCTAGAGTTTTCGACTTGATATGACATTAGACTGTGATTGTCCGCGAAGTCCATGATGTTCTGGTCCAGCATATTCCTATCTTCCCACTCACCACAATCCGACGTATAATCCAGTCCACCACAATTAGGAATGCCATTAGTGATAAAAGGAAGTAAATATACTTACTTGGCGCCGGAACCAGGGTGATCGCGAATGCCTTGGCCCCAGGTTGAGGCTCGCTTTTGCACTTCGGCGTGTTGAAGCCTGCGACGATCCCTAATCGGGCTCGCTCGGATGCGTAGCTTTTTCTGGTGGGGAGGTCTTCGGATCATCCCTTTATCTTGTGCGTCGGTAGCACAGAGGTTAAGATTCTCGACTACCATACACATGGTCCGGGGACCGATCCCCTGCCGACGCACACCCGATATCAATGGTCGGCCTGCAAAATGTGGGCTATCGATATCACATGCTGAAAATTCCATACTTGTACCAAAAATACGGTGTGGAATCAAGCTATAATCAAAAAATAATATTCTATTATTGAGTTATCCAGGGTGACATAATTGGTGTAATTACTCAGAAGTGGCTTTAGAAGTAGAAATAAAAGTTGTAAATTACATAGTACTCAAGTTCCTCTCACTGAAACTATTTACTTTATCTGCAAATTCATTGAGGATAACAATATAGATGTGGGTGTTGCGATCCACTACTTAAAGGAACTATTATTTAGGTGCGCTTTTAATGTCCATTTCAAGTTCAGCAACACGCTTTATAGACAAAGATATGGAGTGGCAATGGGGTCACCACTGGGTCCTTTACTTGCAGACTGCTTCTCGGCAAGTCTAGAGAACAGTATGTTATGACACACTATCAACAGTTTCCATCTGTACCAAAGATACATGGATGGTACTTTCATCATATGTAACGAGAATACCAATATTGAAATGATAACTATGGAGTTCAGCAGCTGCCATCATGCCATCCACTTCACGTTGGAATGTTCACAGCGATTAGCACAGCGACAGTTGGCACAGATAAGGATGCCACAGCCAGTCAGTATTGGAAGGGCAAGAAAGACCTTCATTAATCTGAAATCAGTGTGGAAGTCCGTCAAATTCAGTATAGAGAACAAGAGTCAGATGTTCAACATCAACGTCAAGTCAGTACGCGTTCAGACGCGTCGTTCAGATATTTGCGGTAAGCATCAATAAAACCATTTCCAGAAGCCTGTTACAGACTTTCACCAACACCTAGCTACCTTCAGTCATTAATTACTAGAGACCGGATTTCCGGCCGGCAAGAATAAGCAGCAGCAGAGAACTCTGGTAGCGAACCAACGAAGAGTCTACTACTCGACAAAAATATGAAAAAATATGACAGTATCTTTGCCTGTCAAATGTCAAAGTGACTGCTCTAAACTTAATGGCTTTCTGTTAGAAATCAGCCTGTGGTCCAAGGAAAACGGTCTTACCTTAAACACCTCCAAATACCAAACAGTCAATTTCATCTTTAGGCATAAATCCGAACTAAACAAACTGGTTGGCTCTCACGAGGTGTGCAACATAGATGGCACTGAAATAGAAACCAAGTCGGAAAATAAATACCTAGGCGTCATTCCATCTGCTGATCTCTCCTGGTCGTCTCATATCTTGGCGATTTCTAAGAAAATATTCCGTCTTACCTTCTACATCAAGAAGTTAAAACATTCTGGTATAAACCCCCAACCCTTACTCCTACAATTCGTTAACTCCCGCATTCTGCCTATTATTCTATATTGTTCCCCCTTAGTTTTTCCCGGGCTACTGAAGAAAGACTGTAACATATTACGCAGGATGTTAAAGGTTGTCAGCAGGGTAAGCAACGTGCCACTTAACCAGCTTGTTAATATTCTGGTTGACAGGCACATGGACTCATGTGAACAGTGGGCCAAATCCATTTTGTCTAACTCACACCACCCTCTTCACTCACAACTCTCCCCCTGCATCTCATCAGGCAGGAACAGAAGCCTATATAGAAAACTATATGCTCGCACCACCAAGTACAAAAACTCAACCATACCCTACTTAGCTCGTGTTCTGTGCGATAAAGAAAGCATTAGGCGTGACACCTATAATTCATTAAACAGTCAGTAGTACAACTGGATCTCGTCTTTCCAACTCATATCATTTATAGGTACAACATTTTCTTTCTTTCTTTTCCTTTTCTCTCTCTCTCTTTTTTCTCCTTTTTTCCGTTATGTGCTGCTTTGATTCTTTCTCTCGCTTACTCCAGTAAATATGATAGCACCTACTTTTCTAACACCTTCAAACACTGTTTAACTTTGGCTTTGCTACCGACATGCCAATATGTTGTTGTCATAATGAACTGAGATTTCCTTAATCTATGTAGAATTCTATTTATTGATAATGTACAAACTGGATGCAATACTGTAGTAAACAAAATGCTGAGAATTCCATTCTGTATCACAAGTGCTGTTTTGCAATAAAGCAAATTATTATTATATATTCAGACTTAAGATCTTGAACTCATTCGTTCTTTTTCTGTTCTAGGTACCGAAGCTGGTCTATACTGAATCTCACTTTCCACGGAACTATGATTGATGAAATTCCAATCAAATGTTCGCTGGGCAATACAAACGACTTTCGTGTGGATAGTATCCACAGGGTGAATAATGTAAATGTGAGAGATTCCTTGAATACCGATGAGAATATAGTAGTACATTCGGATAGTGAAATAAACTCTCTACCATCTCAACTATTAACTATAAATGTTATACATAAGTTTCTTCATTAACTAAACATGATTTGGTGATTTTCACAAACGCGAATTCATATCATAGTGGATAGCAGTCACTAGGTGTTTCTGAAATATATTGAAAAACAAGATTAGAGTTTCACTTGTATGGCATTTCTTGATCACAGGGAGTCCATTGATACTCTACACAAAATAATTAATACTAATTTATATTTGTAATATCTCAGCGATATTGAAATGAGTAATTCCAACGTTTCTTTCGGCAATCTGGTCCGAACTTCTTCAGGGAAATTAATCAAAATTAACATAACAGAGGTTTTTTATATATAAAAGGCACATCTTTTGTTTTTTAAAAACTTTGTCCAATCATGATTCATAAACACAAGTATTAACAAGTATAATAAACAAAATTGTATGAGTTGTGATCAAAATTTGACCTCGGACTTACAAATATTGCTCTACCTTTGTTAAACACATTAAACAGAGTGTGCATGCGTGTGTGTGTAAACAGTTGTAAAACATTTCTTAACGTCTCCATAGGAAGATATAGACAGTCAGGAATTTGACCAAGTATTATTAGTTAGTGATACATATCCATTTTTATTTATTAATCAGGATTTCCTATGCATCAGCTAGCACCATAATTTAGAAAATACGTCCAATCATAAAATTCTAGATACTAGCAGTTTGAACGGACATGAAGGTTTGATGTTAGCTGATGCATAGGAAATCCTGATTAATAAATAAAAATGGATATGTATCACTAACTAATAATACTTGGTCAAATTCCTGACTGTCTATATCTTCCTATGGAGACGTTAAGAAATGTTTTACAACTGTTTACACACACACGCATGCACACTCTGTTTAATGTGTTTAACAAAGGTAGAGCAATATTTGTAAGTCCGAGGTCAAATTTTGATCACAACTCATACAATTTTGTTTATTATACTTGTTAATACTTGTGTTTATGAATCATGATTGGACAAAGTTTTTAAAAAACAAAAGATGTGCCTTTTATATATAAAAAACCTCTGTTATGTTAATTTTGATTAATTTCCCTGAAGAAGTTCGGATCAGATTGCCGAAAGAAACGTTGGAATTACTCATTTCAATATCGCTGAGATATTACAAATATAATTTTTTACAAATGTCTACTTCTCGCTCGGCGCCCAAATATTTTAGAACTATTCTGTCAAATCTTGACGACAGTTCATTTGAATTAATACTAAGTTTGGAAAATGAAAAATAGTGTATTGTTGAACTGTTCTTCTAACTTTGCATAATATTGATCATTTCAAGAATGACGTTGTCACTGATTTTACATTGATTTCCATTGACTTTTCTACTCAGTTTATCTTTGACCAATTTTTTGCTTCAGTGAACAATTTATCGACATATAGCGCAACAGATAACCGAGAAGATTCGTAACACAGTTGGAAGATGATTTCGATGTGGTTGCGTCCCCTGCATTCAATGGGAGGTGGTGCGGCGTTACTTGGGAAACTTTATTGTTCTCTTTATAGACAACATCTTCAGCACAAGCTTTAATATGACATGAATTTATGTGATTTCTGTATGAACCATATCGTCAGATATCTTTTGTTGTGATTGGTTGATAATCAGCATCAGTGTAATGACCGTTTTAATTGACTTGGGAGTGGACTGTTTTTTTACGTGACTTATTCTCCATTAATTGATAAATCTGATCTATAATAATGTTTGATCACAGGGTGGTATCAATTAGAGAGAATCATAGCAAACCATGGAATATTGAGAAGCTGTTTCTTCCTGGTCTTGGACTCTTCAACACAACTCACCTAATATCACGCTGGGTTTGAACAAAGCCAGAACTAAAGTTTCAGCAGAATAAAATGGTACCATCTTTTATTTCGTTCCTTTCTCGTCAGCTGCTTACAGGGCAAAGACATTATTATATGTATCTACAAAAACAATTTTAACATACTTGCACAGACAGTTCATTTTAAACAAAAATCAATCGATCAATACACGCATATACTAATAATACATACACATGTATATGCAATATTAAACACAATTCCGAACAATAATAATCATACACAATGAAAACTTTTCAGCATCTCGCATTCGGATGGAAAATATCCAGTTACCAGGGCAAAGAAAGACTGATAACTGGTTCTTTCTGAACGCATTAGTCAGGTTTCAGGCGCTTGATGGAAATGGCTTCAGCAAACTTAAGGAGAATTGAGCTCTTTTGCCTATTGATAATTTTGAACGACTTTTCGCCGTCCACCTCATGACCCGTGTGGAGGAGATGCCTGACGATGGCACTGCCTAAAGCATCTTTTCCCTGTAGACGTAAGCTTTTTGGTACATGTTCAGAAAATCGTAGATATGCTCTTCTTTCTGTTCTTCCATGTAAATTCGGTATATACAGTTGGAGTTAATATGAGAAGAATATCTATCGAATTTTGATTGCACCAAAGATAGACGAGGACGAGATTAGCTGCAGGATAGACTCTGGCTAGTGACGTATTCAGTCTTCTGTTGACCATTGCTGCAATGTTTTCACCTTTATAATCAAGCTGAAAGTAGATTGGCTTTTTTCCTACTGTGATTTGTTTGACATTTGAGACTTCAGATCTTCCGTACTTGTTAATGAATCTTCGAGGGTAACCATTACTTTTCAATATCTTTTCGAGAAATAAATTCTTTCTCTAATTTCTCTATAGAGCATAATCTCCTAGCTCCTCAAGTTTGCTGAAGCCATCTCCATCAAGCGCCAGATTTATGAGTTCAGAAAGAAGCAGTTATCAGTCTTTCTTTGCCCTGGTAACTGGATATTTCCACCTCTCTTTCATGTGATTACGTAATGTCGAAAGTTTACATCGTGTATGATCATTATTGTTCGGAATAGTGTTTAATATTATATATATATACGTAAGAATTCATGGACTCAACATTGGATTCCGCTCCAGTAGCTGCATGTTCAACGACCTCCCCTCGTAACCTGAAGGTCCTGGCTTTGATTCTATGCGTGTGTGTGTACAGTCATGACTGCAAACTACTGAAGCGTCCCAAACTTGGACGAAACAGCTGTCCAGTAATCCCTGGTTCTCAGTGAGTCTATAACTGATACCAGTCCATGATCAAACTTGAAATCAATCAAATAAATTCCTACAAGCTAACATTATAATAATCTCCCTGTTGATCACTAGTTTGCCTGAGTACCAACTAGGCTTCTAGGAATTCCTCGGCATAAATTCTAATGTTTTCGCTGCTTAAAATTTACATATTTTCTCTGTCAGATTAGTGTCCATAGTTGTCTACGTACACAATGATACGAAGGAATATATGTCGTGTCATTTGACAGGTACTTGTGTTCTTGCAGTCAAGAAAATCAATGAAAGCTTTCCAATTAAAAACCACTAAGCTCATAAAGAACCTCGCCTAGATTACTAGGTCACTAGTATTCTAGCCGGTCCCAAGCCCGGATAAAGAGGGAGGGTTGGGGCGTGGTGCTAGCAACTCCACCCCCAAAACTTAACCAAATTGCTACTAAAACTTCAACGCACAAATATATTCAAAATTCTAAAATTACAAATAGTGACCTTATTTTTCGCTGGAATCGGGGAAGTGAAATGACGCGGGCTGGTGAAAGCCTTCGGGAAGCCAGTCAGCCGATGTGCCTGCCTTCTTTCGATGAAAGCGAAAATAAGGATGGGGACGTGGAATGTTCGTACAATGTACGAAGCTGGGAAGGCTGCTCAGGTAGCCGCAGAAATGAGGAGATATAAAATAGAAGTGTTGTGAATCTGCGAGAGCAGATGGAACGGATGTGGAAGGAGCCAACTATCAACTGGAGAGACAATAATCTACTCCGGTCACCCAGAGGACAATCACGAGCACACCGAGGGAGTAGCCATCATGATGTCACCAACAGCGGCTAAAGCTCTCATGCAGTGGGAACCAATCTCCTCCAGGATAATGACAGCCAGGTTCAACTCAAAAGGAAAAAAGGTTACAATCATTCAGTGCTACGCGCCTACAAACGCCTCAGAACATGAGAAGAAGGAGGATTTCTACAGTCAACTACAAACAGTAATGGACAACGCCCCAAAGAGCGATATCAAAATCCTGATGGGCGACATGAATGCGAAACTGGGAGGAGACAATACAGGAAGAGAACTCACCATGGGTCGTGAGGCCCTCGGTGAAATGAACGAAAATGGCGAACTCTTCTCAGACTTCTGCGCCTTCAATGATTTGGTGATTGGTGGCAGTGTGTTCAAGCACAGGGATATACACAAGGCAACATGGATTTCACCAGATGGACACACCAAAAACCAGATAGACTTCATTTCAATCTCAAGGAAGTGGAGACGGAGCCTACTGGACACAAGATCGAGGAGAGGAGCAGATGTGGGTTCAGACCACTATCTAGTACAAGGGACTTTCAAGGTGAAGCTGAAAGCCTCGAGGATACCTGGGGATAGGCCACAATGCAAGTTCAACACTCACAAACTGAAGGACACAACCACAAAAGACACTTTCACTGCAACTGTCAGAGCAAAGCAGGAAACACTACGTGGCACCACTGAGGAATCATCCGTGGAAGACCATTGGAACTCTCTGAAGGTGATTTTCAACGAAACGTGCTCAACGGTTTTAGGAAGAAAGAAGAAACAAGACAAGGAATGGCTCTCAACAGACACTTGGAAACTAATAGAGGAGAGGAGAAAGGTGAAAGAAAAAATGATGCAATGCAAAGATAGACAAGAGAAATAGACGCTGAACTCAACTTACACAGCACTGGACAAAGAAGTGAAGAAGAGTGCCAGGAAGGACAAAAGACAATTCTACGACAACCTGGCTACTGAAGCTGAGAAGGCAGCAGGCAAAAGGGACCTGAGGACACTATATCAGATAACCAAGTCTCTATCCGGGAAGAGATCAACACAAGTGAAACCTATAAAAGACAGCCAAGGGAAGCCAATTACCAAAGAAGAAAGACATATTAAACAATGGTTGGACCACTTCAAAGGACTCTTGAATCG